CTTATATAAACTTTTTCCATAGATAAAATATATTCAAATGTAATTAAATATACAGATATTTTAATTTTTGGGTTGCGTCTGATCAGGTCCGGGTTCCACACTCTAATTTTGGGTGACCCTAACCCGACCCGACCTTTTGCTACCCCTAGAGACGGAGAGAGAGAGAGGTATTAGAGTTTAAAGGAAATGAGCGTTACTGTATTTTCCATCTTTAATTATAGATGAATATGAATATAGACACTCTTTTTTAACTTTCTAAATAGCTTAAGATATCCGGTTTTTCAAAACAGACCCTCTCAAAAGCAATAGTTGTAGAGATGAATATGGGCTGGGTCCAAACCCAACTTTGATTGGCTTCGGGTCTAACCACGACCTGAATACGACGGGGTCACACTCGGGACGTAGACCTGTAACTAACCAGTGCAGGGGTCCTAGACCCAAATTCAACCCTACGGTCTAGGTCTTGGACCCATACTGGGATAAGGTAGACCCATTTGACACATTTACAGAATTGGTTCACCTTGGATATCAGTTTTGAAAGGTGTCATTGTAGAACCCTTTTTGTCTCTATGTTTGTCTGCATTGTTCCACTTCTTATTATTCAATAAAATATATTAAAATTTAAATGTTTCTTTTTTAAATTGAAAAATACCATGCACCTATTTTTTTTTTTTGGGTAATTAAGTGGAGAAAAAAATATACAATGAGAACATTTTTCTTTGGTATAAGGTAGTCACAATTACTTGACCATTAGATTTGAAATTGGATCTCTGCATTTATTCCATTGACCAAGCTTAAACTTCAAAATCTATGATATAACATTTAGTATAGTGGATTTCAGTTTGTTGTGCCCGTGGATGTAGCCTTCTTAGGATGAATCAAGTAAATCGTTGTGTTCATGTCTCACATGTATTTCATGTTTTATTTCTCGTATTAAAGTTCGTTTCTCGTATTATGGCTTGTGCTTTTTCCTATTTTGTTTCTAACTAAATAAGTATATGATCTTCGTAGGATCCAACTTTTGTACTGTTGTTTTCGCATGTAAAAGGGTTCTTAAATCTTAAGAGTCAGACCCCTATCCGTTTCTTCAAGTAGATTAGGAGTTAGCTTTTTGAAGCTATGCACCTATTTCTCTTATGAATGCTAGTCATAACTTAATCCATTCCCAGGTGAACCCGCATGTGTTTGGGGACCACAACTCAAGTATCGATATTTATTGGACAGTAAGCTTCTCAATCATACTTTAAAGAATCAATGAGCTCGTTATCCATTTATTTTATTTATTTTTAGGCTAAGGGTTATCCATTTGCTTTTCATTAATTTCTAAGAGGTTTATTGAAGTCAATCATTGTTTATTATTTTATGCAAAGTTGACGATTTACGTGCGGACCCTAAAATTTCAAGTAAAATGCGTACTGCTCTACTTGTAGGTGAAAATTACAAAGAAGTTCGGTCAATCCACCATTTTCTTTTCTTCAAAATTGCCCCTCAAGCAACTCGAATTTTAATTTTTTTTTGTTAGTAGGGCAGTGCCTTAAATAAAGCTTGAGGCACTGCCATACTACTGAAAAAACTAAAAAGAAATAATAAAAAAAATCAAAATTTGGGTTGATCGAAAGACAATTTTGAAAAAAATAAAAAAAAAATGGTTTGACCAACCTTTTTTGTAATTTCCGACTGTAAGAGGAGCATTTTATATTTTACCTAAAATTTTAAGGTGCATACTTAAATCACTCTAAGAAGTTTATGAGGGGTGGGCACACTCAGTCGCAAGTATAGAATATGGAACCTAAAAAGAAAACATGCTGCAGATTCACTTATGGATTGTTTTCATTTGACAGAAGGATGCGAATGAAAGTACAGGGTGCTACAACCTTCTCTGTGAAGGTTTTGTGAAAACAATCGCCCTTGGATCCTCTCGCACACCTATTTCCATTTATGAAGGAGACCAGTATAATATGACCATCCTAATTCTTAAGGTGATAACCTAGAACAACCAGAAAAAAATTGTTTTTGGGTAACTATATTATGCTCCCAAGGGATCAAGATATATATTTACTCCCTCAGGCAAATGACCCACTGTGGAGGATCTTTTTGGTGTGAAATTTGTGATCAACCAATAATTACATTTTCAGATTGAGTTTTACATGGACTTACATGTCAAAGCCAATGATTTCGACAGTCCAACCAAAAACTATTTAAGAAAAATATATAAAGAGAGTATTTACTTTTGGTACACGGAGGTTACAATCACTCTTGTATCTTAGATTTCAAATAAGGTTGTTGTAAGAGTGTCATTAACTAGACTCAAAGCTCAAAAAAAAAAAAACCCACATCCAACCAATTTAACATCTAATGATTAGAGCAATTATGATTTTCTTATGAAAAAGATAAAATGGTCACATAGTATACAATCCCAAATCTTTATCAGTATTCTTGCCAATGTTTTATTAGGTTGGAATTGCACCAAACACGATATCAGTAGCAAAATTATGGTACACATTGCAGTTCCTTAACACTAAAAATAAAAAGTGTTTACAAATGTGGACTCCTGCTGAGTCCCTTCAATGAAAATATCAAGGATGGATCCCATTGTGCATCTCTTCGTGACTGGATGGTAATAAGCCGCATGACCAAATGACTGTTGAAATATATATCCATTTTGGCTCTAAAATTTTTAATTCTGGTTTATTGAAGGAGTGTGTGCATGTTTATTGTCTTAAAAAAAATGTATACGAGTCCCCATAAGAAGTGTAGAGTGAAGATTTAATATGATGAATTCTAGAGAGACCATGTTGCTGCATTTTAGAGAGAGCGAGGAAGACAAGTATATTGTGGCAAGTATAGGATCTATGGTTTAAAGTTATTTCGGCTAAGTATGAGATAGACAGATGTAGTATTTGGCTTGGAGATGAAAGAAGCAAAATAGTGTCTCAGGTATGGAAGGCTATCTATAATTGCAGGCCCATGGTAACAGGATACTTTAGGTGGAATTTAGGTGATGGTAGGCAAGTATCTTTATGGCATCACAAATAGTTGGGAGACTGACTATCCAATGAAGTCGGCCTTTTCTGATTTATATGGGATAGTGACCCGACCTGATCTGAAAGTTAATGAGGCGGTAGAACGAAGGGGCCATCTTACATCATGGAATATCTCCCTGACGTATAGTCATTTGAGCAATGTAGTATTTTCCCAATGGTGTGCTTTGTTGGAGATGCTGGATAAAGTCTATATCTCATTGAATGCAGAGGATGAAATGATCTAGGAGCTTGAGAGTGATGGGGTGTTTTCTGTTAAATCATGTTACAATTTGTTTTTTCATGATCGTTGGAGATGGTATTGCCCTCAGATTGCTCAGATATGGAAATGGCCCATCCCACATGAAGTTCAGGTATTTATTTGGTTGCTGGCTATAAATAAGGTTTTGACTGTTAACAATCTGATCAAAAGAGGAAATCTTTTACCAAATGTTTATCTCCTTTGCAAAGTTGATGGAGAGTCTGGTGCGCACCTCTTCATCCATTGCTCATTCATGGTAAAAATTTGGTTTTGGCTATTTGGAATTCTCGAGATCAATTTGGTATTCCTTTCTTCGATTGCAAAGATTGTATCACAGTTTTCTATTTCTCATTTGCCAAAGACTGGAAAAATTATTTGGAAAATAACAAAATGTGTCATTCTTTGGCAAGTGTGAAATTCTTTGCCTTTTGATAGATTATTAAATAACATCAAACTTTCAATTTTGTCTTGGTTGCCCGTGCTAAAAGAGGGGTGAGGTATCTCCAAGCTTGATGTTATGGCTAATCTAAGTAGCCTTTTCCTTCTTGGGAGTGTCAAAAATAGCCCACGATGTATTTGGACTGTGCCTATTTGTAAACTTTGATAGTAGTTTTCTAGGAAATCCGGGTGTAGCTGGGATTGATGGTGTTTTACGGGATTCCTCGAGTAATATCCTATTTTCCTATGCTGGTCCGATTGGAGTTAAAATTGCCAATTTTGCTGAATTAAATGCTTTATTGAGTAGGGTAAAAATCTTGGTTGATAGGAATCTTGGTAGAAATTGTTGAATTAAAGGGGATTTTTTAAATATTATTAGATGGTGTAACAAAGAAATGAAGGTCTCTTGGGAGCTTCGATCCCTTTGGCTGCAGGTTATGGATTTGGTAGATGTTTTGCCATACCCATGTGTGTCATGAAGCAAACTCTTTGGCATATTCTTTGGTTAAAGGTGGTGTTTCTTTACCTTTTATTGTTATCTTTAATAATATAATTTCATTTTCTTAGTCAACAATAAAAGTTACGAACATTTGTCAAAAAAAATAAAAAAAAAGTATAGGATCAAGGAGCCAGTGCTTTGCTTTGGTGATGAACTAAGGGAAGAATGCCACGTGAGTTGAAACCTTGTATAAACTTTTGAGTGATTTATATACGGACCCTAAATGTTTAGATAAATTACAAAAAGCCTTCGTTTGGAGGCAGAAATTTCAAAGAACGTCGGTCCACCCTTTTTTTTTTTTTTTCAAAATTGCATTACGTTCATCTCAAATTTTGGTTTTTTTTTTTTGTTTAGTAGTGCAATACCCTAAGCTCTAAGACACTGTTCTTCTAACGAAACAACTAGAATAAAATTAATCAAAATTCGAGTTGATCGAGAGGCAATTTAAAAAAAAAAAATTTAAAAAAAAAGGTTAGCTGACCTTTTTTTCACATATAAGAAAGGCAAGAATGGTTGTGACCTCTTTTTAAAAAAGAAAAAAAAAAAAACGTTTTAGATGCAAATATTTTTGGATATTTATCGACGGAGGCCCTTTTTTTTGGTTTTTTTTTTTTTTGGAGGTTCGTTTGCAAGTATTCAGAAACTCTTTTTATCTAAAAATTTAGATAAGGAAAAAAAAAAAACAGAGAGAAAAAAATACTCCTCTAAATAAGGGGGGGGGGGGGGGAGGGAGCGTATATACTGTTTTCTTGGACACTGTTATCCCACGGGGCACACTGGAGAAGCTAAAAACACAGAGTCAAGATCCGTCTTTGCTTTTAAAAGAGCGGAGTAAAGTAGGAGGTGGGATGCTTTGCCCATTGTCAACAAACAACATTCCAGAAACCCTAAAATAGGGTAACAGTCTTATTTAGTGCAGTGTAAAGAGGGGAAGAGGAGAGGGAGGTGAGGTGATCCATGAGAGATGAGAGGGAGAGACGATTCAGCGTGGAAAGGCGGGGACTTGAAGCTCCTTGGCATGGGGATAGAAGGAGACGGGAGGAGGGTCGTAGCGGGCGAAGAGGCGGTAGGATGAGAGGAGAGAGAGGGCTGCGTAGCAGACAGTGGCAGCAAAGGTAATGGCGACAGAAGCGACCGCCTTCCGGCAGAAGCGGCCGTATGTTCCGCAGGCCTCACTCCAAGTGATGGATGCATCTCCTCTGAACTCCAAGAATACGATCTCGGCCGACGCCGCCCCGGCGGCAAGTATCACGTACGTGAACACCTGCGGCAACGATTATAACAGTCATTTATTACGTTATATTAGAAGTAACGGACGTTCTTATTGAGTACACATATCATGTTTTTTCAATAAATAACCGCAGTTATAAAGAGATGGGAGTCGTGAATCCGATGGTGGACCAGAAGTGAGAAAGAAAAAGAAGGGTGGGTCTTATTCAGGGTGGGTCGGTGGACCAGAAGTGAGAAAGAAAAAGGAGAGTGAGTCTTATTCATGGTGGGTCGGTGGACCAGAAGTGAGAAAGACAAAGAAGAGTGGGTCTTATTCATGGAAGAACTGGGTGGGTCGGTCTATCTCTCTCTCTCAAGGAAAAAGAGGAGTGGGTCCAAGCGTAGATGCAAGACCATGGTGCAGTCCCTCTCTCTCTTTTGAGCCGATGTTCGGAAAATCAAATCGGCATCAGTCCGAGTAACCGCTAATTCAACCAGACAAATACAAACCGCAACCACATGTGAATCAAAGAAGATGAGACTGGTTAAATACTTGGTCAAAGAAGAAGATTGTCCAGGCCCTTGAGATGGTGGAGGAGCGTGGGACCGCCGCATAGAATGCAGATAGTAGGGAGTAACCCGCACATACGCCATTTGCATATATCAGATACCTGCCATAAAATCAATTCATCAAAATCCTCTCTAAATACATTTCTCTAAATCAGCGTTTGTAAAATCCGACCGGTCACGAAAACAGGCTACGGGCCACGTCCAAGTTACTTGCCGGTTCCAAAAAAAATAAAAATTAAAAAAGAAACTGGCTGGATCAACTGGACTAATTGGGTTTGTGTCAAAAAAAAATGTTAAAAAAAACAATACTAAAAAAAATTATAAGTATATTTAAAACTTTATTAACCAAATCAAGTTCAAATGAAATTGAAGAGTAGTAAGGGCTTAATGCAAAGAAAACAAGAAGAGCGTGGATGAACATCTCTGTATCTAACTGATATATAGGAGCTTAAAGTGAAGGAAAAAAGGAGAAAAGAGGGGGGTGGTAATTGAATCCAGCAAAGTCGGTCTAACTGATATATAAGAGCTTAAAGTGAATGAAAGAAGGAGAAAAGAGGGGGTGGTACTTGAATCCAGCAAAGTCGGAAGAAGAGATGGCACCAAAGTCGTTGGACTGAGAGTTTTTGAGGATGAGTAAGAGAGCGGTGAGAGAGAGGGCCATTGGCAATATCCTCATCAGAGTCTCTGCCGTCCTCATTGGGGCTACCTCTTCTTCTTCTTCTTCTTCTACAACTCCTCCATTCCCTCTCCCACTCTTCTCAACCAGACCACCCTCTACACCACCACCATCCTTCATCATCTTCTGCTGTCTGCTGTCTGCTGTCTGCTGTCTTGCCTAACCGGTTTGTGGTGTGATATATGGATGGAGCGAGAAGTGCATTTATCCAAGGGTAGGAGGGATCATTAAATGGTTTGGTAAGGTCAGCCACGCATTCCCATATGCATGGATTGGGGTATTAACTGCTCCTTAAATATGGAATTGAACCCCCCAATATCTCGCTCCTTCCGGGCCTCCCGTTGGTACCCATACACAGCGGAGCAAATAAAAAAATGGCCTCTCTCTCCTCTCACATTCAATGGCACTCTCCTCTCTCCTCTCGCTTCACCATACTTGTTCTATTCACACAGATCCACCTATTGTAAGCTTGTCCACATAGTAATCCTTCGTTCCATCGAGAAATTGTAATTTTTTTTTTATTGTTCCATATTGCCCTTTATTTCAGGGATGGTATGTTTTAATTGTTATTTTTGGAAAATTATTAAAAATATATTCTACTTTTCATCTAATTGAAAAAAAATATTCAATTTTTATACCACACTTTTTTTTCCTCAATTTTTATTTTTTATTTTATTTTTTGACCAAAATAGTCTGTAGTCGTATTACCATAATGACTACAGCAATATGGTACTTTATGTACCGTAATTATCAGACTAAGTATTACGTTATTTTAAAAACCATAATGACCATGGGGTCTCTTTCTCCCTCATTTGCCACATCATACTGGAAATTTGAGTATTACGGTCTTTAAAGTACCATAATGCTTAGCTTGGTCATCGTGATATTTAAAATACCGTAATGCTTAGGCTAGCCATTATAGTACTTAAAGTATCGTTATGCGGACGGTAGCACGACTACCGTAAAGGCTATTTTTGTCCAAAATATATAAAAATTGAAAAAAAAGAGTGTGGACGAGGTTTATAAACGTGCATGTTTTTTTTTTTCAATTAGGCGAAAATTAAGATATATTTTATATAATTTCCCCTTTTTCTTTTTTAGTTTTTTCAATTGTTTGCACCATGTACTATATTTTAGAAGAATTGGCAACCGGTCAGAAGTCCCCATCCTCGGACCACCCAGATTCTGGTGTCATATCACATTATAGGCGGTCTGGGCATGAAAATTTCAAACTACTTCAATCTAGTTAGTGTTCGAGGTCCCCATCCTCGGACCACTCATACTACGGTGTTCAACTACAATATATGTGGTTTGAAAATGGTGGCCTAGGATTAATTTCAGAAATCCAAATTTTGGAGATATAACATCTTCAACCCATAGATTAACCTCAATGAAAGAATTCCTAATTGCACCCTCTACACATTTGAAAAAATAATGTTTTAAGATTTAACAAGACTGTCCAAGTGTTAAAAAACTCAAATTTCAAATTTTAACTTTTCAAAATAATCATCTAGTGATAATCAAGTGATTCTAAAAATTCTAAATTGAAAAAAATCTCCCAAGTAGGTCTTTATTCGAAAGCGTAAATTTTTATTGTGCTCCCACATGAATACATACTCTTTTTTTATTTAACCCTAATGTTTTTAAAGAGTGTGTGGGGTTTACCACTTGTCCAATGTTGTTATTCCCGGAAAGGAGGGAAACTTAGGAATACAAAACCGAAACGTATTTAAAGAGTGTGTGGCGTTTACCACTTGTCCAATGTTGTTATTCCCAAGAAAGAGGGAAACTTAAAGAAAAAAAAAAGCACCGCAGGGGAGAGGTGCTCCTCGTAATTTTTGGATAGAATGACATCAAACGGAAGGATACAAAAAGGTATGGGATTGTATACAATGAGACAATTTACTTTTGGAATAGGGACCATCCGATATAAAATTTGACAATTGGGTATGTCACAAAGTTCGAAAATTTTTTTTTGAACTTTGAACTTGGTCTATGAAATAAATGCAGCTACCCAATTTCATTTAAGATTTATCGCGATCACCTTATACCAAAAGTAAATGATCTCATTATATAATTTCTCAAAAAGTATTCATACCTAAAAAGCAATTTTCTCATTTTGTTTTAAAGGTAATTCGTTCGTCAAAGATATGCCAAGATCCCATAGTTTGAAAATGAAAAGATATGCCAAGATCCCATCATTTAAAAATTACACAAGGAATGGTCTCTCTCACTAGAAAATCTATTGTTTGTATCATCATGCAATTGTAGATTTATTTATGGTTCTAACTTACTCAACGAGGACGTGGTTAGCATGCCGCCAAGCCCGGACACGTAGAAATGCGGGCTTGGCAATAAATATATTTTTTAAATATAATTTAATTTTAATTTTTAAAAAATATATAATCTTTCATATAAAGATCATGAATATGAAAAATAAATAATTTTTAAAAATTAGAAATAATAATTATATCAAGAATAACCATTAGTTACAATTATTTTTAGATGGACCATCTATTTGCATCCATCTTTAAGATGAGTGCTTAATACCTTTGGACCGCATACTGTAGAAATGCGGTTCAGCCTGCATGAAACAATTGTTTATTTAACAATTATATTTGATGTATAAACACAACCACAATCATTACGCAATTGTCGTTTTTGGATTTTGATGCGGGATTATATACTACCAGACCATTTACTTTTGGGAAAGCTTTCTATGTTCCCCTTACAATATAGAAGTTCTATCCTCCCCGTATCATCCAGCCATCCATTTTTTATCAAGAGAGCCACTCACTGTTTGATCTTAGATAAGACGTCTCAAAGTATTTTATTTTTAGTTTTTTATAATACAAATTTTCTGAATATGAAATTTGGTGCATGTCATCTTCTCATTGGGGCCTATAAAAAATATTAACAATAATTTTTTGATAAAATATAATGACCAAAATACCCCTTAAAAATTTCAGAGGTATTTTGATCATTTTATTTTATGCAAAATATTTTTGGTTAGTGCGAATTTAATAGAAGAATAGATGTCCAAAATTTGGTTTCAAAATAGTTTATAGAAAAAATTAAAAATAAAATAGTGTAGAAACGTGACATTGTGATTGGGGCAATCTTAGCCCTCCATTCAAAAATGGACCGTTGGATAAAGGGGAGGATAGAACTTCTATGTTGTAAGGAGAACATAGAAAGATTTCCCTTAAATAAAGGAAAATATTTCTATGCTTCTCCTACAACATAGAAGTTCTATCCTCCCCCTACCATGCAACTGTTCAATTTTGATCAAGAGAGCCACTCACCATTTGATCTTAGATTCGACGTCTCAAAGTATTTTATTTTTAGTTTTTTTTAATACAAATTTTATGAATATAAAATTTTGTACGTGCCATCTTCTCATTAGGGCGCACCTATAAAAAATACTAAACATAATTTTCAGATAAAATATAATGAGCAAATTACCCCTTGAAGCTTTCAAAGGTATTTTGGTCATTTTATTTTATTGAAAACAATTTTTTTATATTTTTCGCTAGTGAGAGTTTATTAGAGGAATGGACGTCCAAAAGTTACTGTCAAAATAGTTTATAAAAAAAATTAAAAATAAAATAGTGCAGAGACGTCACATTGTGATTGAAACAATCTTAGCTCTTCATTAAAAAATGGATGGTTAGATAAATTAGTCAGACTGCATCAAAAAACAATTAAGGTAGTTAAATATACCAAGTTATCAATTAAGCAGTTGCTTCAAAAAAAGAGTTCTTTCACTGAAGCACGTCATTTATTTTGATAACCCAGAATCCAACCACGAGAAGTAAGAAAACATACGGTGCAGATTCCTCGGCATCTTTTGTACCATCTGCTGGAGAATTTAGAAGATTTTTTTTTGCTTAGCAGAGGGAGGCTTATTAAGGCGTAGGACCCATAATGTCGAGATATTGATCTGACTTGACCATCCATCAGTAGCCTTTTGGATTGCAAATGATGATGATTTGGGTGGAAGAAATAGTCCATTCTAGTTGGTAGTTGGTATAATTATTGTCCATAAAAAGAGATGATAGCAATGCGGTAGCGAACAAGCTGGTCTCTCAATCCCATCCAATGCCTGACTATAGATGGCCTTTCTGCAGTTTTAAAAAATAAAAAACAATGAGAAAATCACAAAATTAATGAGCATAAAATTGGGACTCCTTTTTTTTCCCAATGTTTCATGCCAATGTTAGGCCTTGGATACCTCCCAAGCGCCCGGCTGGTTCAACTTGCCTACCAGGAAAAAAAAGGTACCAATAAATCAAAAAAGTGTTTAAAATTAAAAAAATATAAAATATATTTTTAAAAAATGAAAGTATATTTAAAACATGAGTGTTAAAAAATAAAAAAATAAAAGTATATTTAAAACGTGATTAAACAAGGCACATTCAAATAAAGTTGAAAATTAGTGAAAAATAAAAGAAAAATAGATTTTAAAAATTTGATTTGTGCTCAGGGGTATTTTTAAAATTTAACAAAATGATGGGAAAATATAAAAATAAGTAGGATGAGGTTCGTATAAGTGTCAACCTTATACTATTGAAGTAAGGTACACCTTAAAACTATGCCGAAAATGCAGGTTCGATGCCACAGCCTTGCAATGATATGAAAATTTGTCTCAAGTTATGAAATTTAAAATTCCAAAATGGTGATGATCAAGCAGATCTACAAACATTTGAAAATCTTGAAAATAGATGGTCCAGATAATGTATTAGAAGATAAACTATTTTTAGGTCTAGAAATCCTCCTTTTTCCATATCTACGAATCTCGAGGTTGAGATGATTGATTTGAGTGTTTTCCGGCACATTAACACAACATTCTATAGTGGTTTTTTTAAGTGCACTTTACTCGTACAGTGTAAGGTTGACACCTTATATAAACTTTTTACAAATAAGTATTCAAGGCTAAAATACTTTCCAATCTTAGTCAAAATGATTAAAAAATTAACAAAATAACAATAATTAAAAAACTAATTACAAACAAATCTCTTATTTTTTAAGAGTTTATATAATTTTTTAAAGTTTTTTAAAGATACCCAGTCTCATCAACAAAACAAGCCAAAATAAAAAACAGTCGTTCTGATCTAACCGGCCAGCTCCAAGTTGAACCAACCGAGTTTGCGAACGCTGTTTCCTGCAACGGATACGAAATAATTGGGACCCGTCCTAATAAATATTAATATATATGAACGATACGAATAGGAATGCTCAATCTTTACAATTTAGATAAGATTTTGCTTATCCTTTGCAGGCACTGCCAGGGGTGGGCATATAAGTTTTAGATCTAATGACGAGTTGCTTCATGATGGTCATGCTTTCTTGGAACTACAATCACATCTAGCCAGTAGCTATGCCATTAGATCAGAAATCGGGCAGCTGAGGACGTATCACGGACTATACTTAAAGGTTTTTTTAAGATATTTTTTAAATATCTAATTTTATATCTGACTGCTTGAAGTGTAAGTGACAATTTATATATATAATATATGTATAACTCATATTCAAGCCAGCCACGTTAGAAAGGATAACACAATCCAAGTACAAGTCTATTCCACATCACTTAGTAGAATCAGAGAAGCAGCCGATTCTAATTGAAAATCGGGGGACTAGTAAAAATCCAACCCAAGCGACTCGAGTCGAATCACTGGTTTCCGAACTATGTCTAAGACGGGGTGATGGAAACACCATATGTTTATTGAGAAGCATGCATATTATGAACACAAGACTGAAAAAATAATCGTAGGGGAACAAGTCAAGTTTGCGTCCTTTCTATTTTCTGAAGCAAATTTTTTAAATCACTCCTAACAGATCAACAATTCAACATTTTCCTCATATCTTTTTATTTAAGTTATAAATACCCATAAAAAAACATATGGTCTTGAGTTGGAACAGTCACAAATCAGCATAATGTTAAATAGGTCAATCTATTATGATAAATTTCCTGTTTTATAATAGCAATGGCTGTTATAGTAGGTGTTACCGAATCAGAAAAAAAAAACAAGGAAAAAGAAAAAAAACACAAATGTAAAAAACTATAAAACATAGATATATGTATTTGATAAGGGTCTAACAATGTGTTGACACTTTAGTCGTATAAACCTCCAAAAACCAGTACGACATGGCCAACGAGTGTACAATACCGTGTTCGTATCTTGAGACAAGTTTCGGCTCGAGAATGTGCCGTTTCTTATTAGTTCATCTTGCCGTGTAAGGTGCATTCTTATGCTTAACTCATATTATTCCTATTTGTATTATGATAGAGATCACATTGTTTTGGTAAGATTTAGTAATCAATCACGTCATAGAAGGTCTCACTTAAACCCCTCTACTGATGATTCAGTCAGGTGTCGATTGATTAATAATTTTTTATTGTGTGATTATTATAATCCTTATTTTTATGGATGCAGTTTGTATAAAGCCTAGGCTCCAAACAATCAAATTAGAGCCTACCTTCAAATAGTGTTGAAAAATGTAGTTTCAATACTGGAAATCTTTGTGATAGCCTTAAAATATATCTTCATCTTTATTTATAAAGTTTAAAGCTCCAAAATTAGTGTAGATCAACAAATCTATGAAAACTTGAAAATATTAAAAATCGACGGTCCAAAAATATGTTACAAAATACACTATTTCCAAATCTTGAAATCCAATTTTTTTTCTTATGTCCATGAATCTTGATATTGAGATGATCAATTTAAGGATATTTGAGCATCAAAACAATCTCTTCTAGTGAATTTTTTGAGATAGGCTCTAATTTAATTATTTAGAACCTCAGCTTGTTTGATTATTATATTCAACAAAGTTATAGGACTTTGTCTACACAAGATGGGATATGTTATCATAAAAACTCTGTTATAGATCAATTATTTGCGAACAATTGTCTCAGGTAATCAATTTTGTTTGAGAATATGGATGGAAAGTTATACAAAAATTTTAATATACACACCCACAAACACACATACAGCTATATATTGTGCAGACATGTCAAGTCTAGATATATTTTTTTTCAAAGTTCATGGTCAGAAACTCTTATCTTGACACTCTTAAGTGTGGAAAGAGTTCCCCACTCGCATTAGAAATGGAACTTAAAATAACACCTACCGCACCACCCTAAAGTGGGGCACATGACATCAAATGTAATGAATAGTATGAGTTAGTAGTTCCCCGCCATCAAATGTTTATTGGGTGGTTTAAAATTCATATCACTATTTTAATCTTAATTTTTTTTATAAATCAGATTAGATAAAATTTTAGGTATATATACCTAACACTATTGCACACAGTATAAAAATATAAAATAATTACTTTCAATAATTTAAAATGACTAAATTACCCTCATAATTTTTTACGGATATTTAAGTTATTTTATATTTTAAGAGTTATTTTTATATTTTTATTATTGTGTGCTCTATGTTTTATTACACGCGTCCAAAATTTCATTACAATTAGATTTTTTTAAAAAAAGATTAAAATTGAGATAGTGATATTAATTCGGACGACTAGGAGCACTGTTGGAAAAACCAGGCGAACTAACCACTAACCGCCCGATTAGATTGGAACTGGCCACAGTTCCAGTTTTGGATAGTATTAGTGATCGATTTGTATTTAAAAATAAATAAATAAAAAAAAGTATATCAAGTTTTAAAAATAAGGAATTTGGTTTGTAATGTATTTTTTAACATTCTTTACATTATGGTAATGATTAAAATTTGTTTTGGTCATTAATACTTACTTTTATATTTTTTCATCTTTTTCAAAAAAAATTTAAAAATACCCTTAGACACAAACCGATTCATTAAACTCCATTTTTTTCATTAATTTTCAACTTCATTTGATTGTGTTTTGGTTTTAAACATTCTTTATATGTTTTTCATATTTTAGTATAATTTTTATTTATATAATATTGAGTTTTTAATCTCTCCATAAATCTCTCTTAATTAATATGCATTTCATTAAATATCTATTAACCTCTCTGTCTCCCCCTCGTCCCATTAATTTTGGCTTAAATCCATATTGCCAAAGTAACATGTATTTAATCATTAATTGAGAATAGTAATAAAGATAAATAATAAAGTTAATATTTCATAAAAGGATAATTATATATTAAATATGAGCATGTGATAAAAACGCAGATACAAGGCATGTTGTTGCAATTTCATTTTCTCTAATTTTTATAATAACATTTACTTAGAAGTAAATAATATATTTGGCTAATAAAATACAAGTGATTTCAATTATTTTAAAAGATAATAAGAATCTAAAAAAGAGCTAATTCTATTTTAAAATGTGATTTTCGATAATCGTTAAATTATAATATACTTGTGAATATAAAAAAAAATTCCAGAAAGAAATTAACCAAAAATACTTATATTGATAAATATAAAAAAAAAATATATAATTCCCTAGCTATTTTCCTTCTAGTACTTACTTATAAGTAATTAATAAATTTATTAATATAAATAAAATAATTAAATTTATGTCAATAAATGATATAGTTGTAAATATAAAAAAGGACAAGCACAATAATAATTAACTATAAATGCAAAATGAAGAAATAGAATTAACTCAAAAATAATTGTTTTAAAAAATAATTACCTCAAAATGCAAGCTACATTAATAAATAAAAATAATAAAAATTATCAAATGGCATAAAAAATTTATTTTTTATTCATTTCTATTTTTCTCCATTTGTTTTTCATTTTCTATCTATACTTTTTAGGATTTCCAAAATCCCAACCTAAATTAAATAAAAAAACAAAAGAGAGCGAATTAGAGTGACAGAGAGAAGTCTTTGCTACCATGAAATAAAGAAAAATAAGTTATACCAACATTATTATCAATTTTAATCGAAATAGATATCTCATTATTATGTGTTATTTGTTATATGCATCATGAGATATGTTTCTACAGTTTCATTTTATCTGATTTTTTAGAATAATATTTTCTTATAGATAAATAATATATTTACTAATAGAATTGAAGATAATTTTAATTATTTTAAAAATTGATATAATTGAAAATATAGAAGATAAAATAAAAATAATAAACCAAAAATACAACTTATGTAAGTTAATAATATATTACTATATAAATCAGAAAATTTTAATACTTATATTGGTAATAACAAAAAAAAAATTCCTTCTATATTTTTCCTTTTGGTATCCACTCTATCAAGTGCCATACTCTCAGTTGAACCATAGGTAACCATATTTATCTCCCTACTTCTATCCAAATAATATAATTGAAATTATTTTAGAAAAATAATTACCTCATGATGTAGTTATAAATAGAATTATAATTATATTTCAAAGTTTATATATTATGTTTTTGCATTTTGATTTTTCTAATATTCTAGGAGAGTATTTACTTATGAGTAAATAATATATTTACTAATATCATTAATACTAATTTTAGAGTAGGTTAGAAAATAATATAATTGAAAACACAAAAGTTAATTATTATCTAATGAAAGGTGTGAAGATGGATCCATCAAATTCTCTTTCTTCTATAGACCCTTTTTATAAACGAGTTTTATACCTTTATGGAAAAAATAAATTTAAGTTCAAAATTTTATTTAATTATTTGTGTTTAATATTTGTGCAACGCAGCACGAAAATCATGTCATCCTAAAACTTTGGTAATGTATCAGTAGAAGATTCACTCAGTATTGAATTTCATTGGACAAAGAATTTGAGAAGGTAAGAGACAATTCTATTAAAATTTGCCAGGAAATCCCCACCCAGGATACAACCATTAACCAAGTTCAAATCTTAATCAAACAGCATCATTAAAGCAAAGACTTAGAAACTAAGTCTCCATCACAAAAGCCAACCAAACACAGTGAGGTTGTAATTTAGGAATTGGATTTGAATGGTTAGAGCTTCCAATAGATGCGCAATTTATGCAAGATTCCTGCCACTACACCCCAAAACACAATCTCTGCAAATATCACATAGAGAAGCGTCCCCAAATTTTCCGAGTTCCAAACATCGACGAACACGTGTTTTTGAATCCAATTGACCTGCTCATCATGGTTGTTCAATAATTAAAGTGGTAAATGGAATGTTCAAAAAGAGAAATACTGAAGTGGAGAAGATCATTACCAGTGTATTCTCAGGATCCTCATAATACCACCCATTAACGAATGCTGGGAAGATTCCTTGAGCTCCCAATACAAAGATGAGCATGGCATTCATCCCGATCCACTCGAGGAACATAAAAACAATCCTAGCTCTCCATACATCAATCTAATCATATAAGAATGAAAAGAAAAATGAATGGTCACACCCATCTGAATATACTGTACTAATTGGCTAATCTATATTTCTCATCGGGGGTCATAGGCAATAAGTATTCCTCATCAACATGCTACAATGCTTTGATATATACTTTATCACAGTTTGCCTGCTTATTTCAAATAACAATTAAAAGCTTTTGCCCAAATGCCCATGATTCTCAGATTGAACAAATTCCACAAGGAATTGAAGTAATTTTTGTTCCATTAACATTGGGGAAAATACTTCCATTGTGGCATTTCTTTCTTGTTCCATTAACATAGGGAAGTTAAAGTTCAGATTTCTGTCATAGTTTGCGAATAAGCATTGTAGTTTCTTTCAAGGATATCTTTTTTATTTGTGCATCCATTAATCATAGAGACTCAACATTAAAGGCATCCCGTACCAACATGTAGAGTACTGAGAAGAGAATTCCTGCAGCACCTGCTGTGAAGCAAACATAACTGATGCTATAGAGTTGTTTGTTGAGAGGCATAGCTGCATTAAGAAGCTTGATATCAGCTTTTGCATTGAATCAAGACACACATCCAAAGAAACCAATATTTCCCATTTGAATCATTTGTTCATGGGTCTAACCCCATATCAAAATGCTCATGATCTATTAACAGGATGAATTGGTTCCAATTGCTATATACAAAGTTTTAAAATGCATACCATCTGTGAAATGAAGTATAATGCCAATAATAAACAATGTGATTCCCATGGATAACCAATGCTTTAGCCTCTCTAGGTGACTCTGCAAAAGGCCAAACATGCATGTTGACATCAGAAAGCATAGAGATCTGGCATTACACAGAATTCCATGTAGAATTGTCAGGCAAAACATTTTTTGAATTGTTCATCATAGTTTTCAAGCTGATTATCAAATACTTTGCTAGTGATAACTTCTCTTCCATTGTTTTAAATATCTTCTCCTCACATTGAATGGTGAGCGCAACAGGATGCACCGATATTATGGAAGAAACTATCACACAGAAGGTTGAAGTAGGGAATACACTTAATAACCTTAAAATGGATCAAAACATGCCCGTAATGGATCCCAATGGTGCCTGAGAGGATAGCTGAAATGGAACTAGGAAAACACATAAAGAAGTCATTATTGAGCGTATAGTTTCAACATGGTTATCTCATGAACTTAGGAAATTGTTCTAAAATATGAATTGATTGGGAAAAACTAAAATATTTTCCTACAAACCTCAACAGCCCTTCAGGTTCATATGGGGCCAGACACCAGCTAGCAGCATCTTTGCGAAGCGGGCCTGACTTTGGTGAACTTGTTGTACATGCCTGTAAAATGACAAATAATGCATACCTATATTTTAGTACAAGAAAGAGTTAACAAAAGATAGATAGAGATAAATGGAAATGAATTTGTCTAGTTTCAACTTAACCTTTAATCTTTGCCACACAGGTTGCGAATACAGATGGTTTATGCCCCATACTTGCCGGTCCACATGACCGACAGCATTACAAGCTGGTCCAAGGTGGGCTCTCATACCACATTTTACCTAACATGCCCCCTTTGACAATTTAGATTTTATCTTTGACATGAAGTGAAAAAGAAAATAAATCCAAACATACTTACAGTAAATATCTTCTCATTATTCTCATTATTCTGATGATGTAACACATAGCTCCAATCCGGAACATAAAGACTATATGTTGTGATGATGTAAATAAGAAAGGCTATGAATCCCCCAAACCTGAAAATTGAGGAACCATCAAAAGATGGATATTAGGGACTGTTTTGTAGCCTTGCATTTTCTTACTAAGTATTCAGTAAATTAAAGTGATAACAGTTTATCAAAATAAAAAATGGAGATTATAAAAGGAAAGATTCCTAACATAACTCACCATTGCCACCGATACGCATTGAATATAGATAGAGGACTAGAGCCCAACATAGTTGGCCTTATCTTGGTGGTCGCAATCTCAATCATGGCTACAACAAGGTACACCAAAGCTATTCTCTGCTCGGTACATGGAGAATTGAGTCACAGTAATGAGAGTTCTTTTCTTCATGACTCTCCACAAATAGACATCATTGTAGATGGTGATAATACATACCTGGAGGATTCCACACCATCTTATATGTTTCATATCTACTCCATACGACAAGTCGTCAGGCGCATGAGAATATCCTCCTTCAGGATATTGGGGCAATATTAAGGATCGTTCACATGACATGTTAAAGTTTACATTTTCCTTTTTTTTGGGGGTTGGGGGGGGGGGTTTAAATGCCAAAGTCTAGAAATTTACCTTGCAAAATTATACCCCAGAAGAGGAGTTTCAGTGTCCTTAAAATGACCTTTTTAACTGCATCTCCAACCTTGGGGATTTTCTGTAGAAGAATAGGAAGCCAGGTTGACATTATCGGTTTTAATATCAGTTAAAGTTAGTGGAGTGGTGCATGTATAATTTTCATTCTTTTGTAGCTCTTTAGTAGTTTTTTTTTATACCCAAAAGATTATCTGCTCTTGCAAGAGTATATGATCCATCCCTTGGGTAAAAACCCACAAGGAATATTTTTAGGACCTCGCTTCAACCTAGAAACGAATCTAAATAAGAACAAATTTCTAGATCATCGAATTCAACAAAACCATCCAGTTTTTGGAAAGTTAAATCTAAGGTTTTCAGGAACTTAAAAATTTATTTCCTATTTTCATTTTAAAAAATTCTCATCTAGTAATTCTTAAGTGGAATTCGAAAAATTCCTCTAAAGTTGTATCCTGCCCCAAGGGAATGAGTATATAATCGACCCCACGGGAGTGCACCGTATTCTGTAGGGTTTGAGAATCATTCATAACAGACAGCTGAGACTGGTGATTATTATAGAAAGTGATTCTCTTAATGTGGTAAAATGTGTGTACAAAACAAAAAAATCTTGAGATGGGGTCTATGCACCTAACACATTAAAAAACCATTAACATGTATGCAAAGAAGCTTAATTGTAATTGTATGTGTGGAGGAGCAAAATAAAAAGTTAAAACCAATGGTCTAAATATTTTCTTCGTAAAATCATTATTTTCAATTTTTAAAATTTTGTTAATGATCTCCATGTTAGAAGGTCTAAATCCATCTCAAAAATGGAATTTTAAGCAATGGCTCATATCGACATAAGAGTCCTAGGACTCATAGAAACCGTGTCCTATATATACACATGCGCCAATGGAGGTGTAGTTGATACCTTGAGGGCAAGGGCAATGGCAACACCCACAATGAAGAGGAAGAATGGCATCACAAAGTCGGCCAATCGGCAACCGTTCCATGGAGAGTGATCCAAAATTTGCTCATATGCACCCCCGGCATCGTCCACTAATATCATCACCTATATTATATATGTATGCATGTGATTTACCCCAAAAAAAAAAAAAAGTGTGTATATATATATCTCACACGCACAATATAAAATCATCATCATCTCGAGCATACAAGAGGAAAAATAAAATCAACCATGAATGAAAGATGGATGATTGCGATGGCACATGTCTTTGCATTATATGATATCGGAGATGGTTACTAAAAGAGCATTTAAGTATGGTAAATAAATTAACATATATAATAAAAGGTGAAGGATAAACGAAATAGGCGGCAATAATTCTTCAGAGTACAAATTTTAGAGTAAAAATTTTAGATGCGTGTGCGTGTGTGTGATTTGTCTGCCATTGAGGAAATAGCAATGGCTGAGATTCAGTCATGACAGATAAGAATTGCCATGGTAATTGCCGTAGAATAAATGCAGTTAATTGTTACAAGACAAAGTACACGTTATATATCTAAAAGTGTATTATCTTATGTCCCCACACCCGGTTACCACATCGTGGTATCCATTTCTAGTGTGTGGTATCTATTTCTAGTGCTGACACCCCCAATTAACACTTTCAAAATGTAACTCCCCAATCTATGAAAAAACGGATAGGGGTGTCTTCCCCACTGAATTACTCAAAAAAAAAAAAAAAAAAAAAAACTTGGATGCAACTAGGTGTTCATTTAAAAACACAGTCCAAAAGTTTTCTTACTAGAAATATCATTTCTAGCTTTTAAAATGTATTTATTGATTCATATTCATGTTATAGATTACATGTCCTTAAAAAGTATGTTTTAAAATCCATCTCAAAAATAAATTTATTAAGAGACCTGCATTTCTATATATATAGGCTTGGCCGCATAGAAATCGGATCCTTGAGGGAATATTCATGTATGGGTACCCTGACATAATCCTTCAAAAAATTAGTTTGTTTTGTTATAAAGAGTGGTAGATCATCGGGTGGGTGCTCCTATTAGTATTAGTGAATGGTTGTGAGTGAACTTACGACAATGGTGAGGCCTCTAAAGGCATCAAGCGTGGCCACTCTCTTCTTACTAGTCTTTTTGCCGTCTTCTTGCTGCAAAAGCTCCTCCTTCTCTTCCTTTGTTGCTTCTTCAATCTTCTCCTCTTCATGGATCACAACTACCTCTTCCCCTTTGCCTCTCCCACTCTCTTCGTCCACACCCATTTCTCCTTCTCGTACACAAAGTGGTAGAGAAGAGATTTTTCTTTCTTTAAGGCAATGACATTGCTACCTAGGATACTAGAAATAAGACAATATATATATCTATATGAAGAAAACAGAGGTTGGAGCTATATCAATATCCATTGGTTTGGATGACGTGAGACAGAAAAGGAAGTATACTTTGGAATCGATTGTATGGGTGTTTGCTCTTTGGCAAGATATAGTTAGAAGGGAATCTTCTTCTGCCGGCCTCTACCCATTTTTTGTTGAATGCAAAAGCGTCTCTCTCTCTCTTCTGCTATTTCATCTTCGGTGGACTTTTTCGCTATAAGACAACAGGCGTAACATCTTGAGAGAGAGAGAGAGAGAGAGAGAGAGAGAGAGAAACAGAGGGAGGGAAGGAGGCTGTCAATTGAACCAATGTCACCCAAAAGGAGGCCTGTCCATGGAACCTTGTGAAAGCCATGCTTTCCAGGGCTGATACTCCGAGGTGTAGCAGAAAAAGGAGGCCTGTCCATGGAACGTTGTGAAAGCCATGCTTTCCAGGGCTGATACTCCGATGTGTTTTGTCCATTGAATTCAACAAATAACGATGTTTGACTTTTCTTTTTACGGTGACACTCACACGGGACCTTGCAAAGCAGGCCAGGGGTTAAATTTTCATTTTGTTTGTTTTTTCTTATTTATAAATCCATTTCACCTGAAAATTAGGGTGTAGATTCATTTTACATGGTACGCTCGATAAATTTAATAAAATAAATTTAAATAAAAAAATTGGTTTGAATACCTCTAAAACATTATGGAGTATAAGTCAATTTTTTTGTTCAAAATTCCCTTTGTTTTTTTATTACACTTAAACATATTTTTGTAAAAAAATAGTGAACCGCAATTAATTGAGAAAAGACAACGATGTTTTGTCAAAAAGTACACAATTGAAATCCTTTAACGGGGCTAAGTTCAATAGGAACCCTAAAAAGGAGTTTTCTGAACACTTCAAAACGTCCACATCATTTGGACGCTATACCATCCTAAAACCAAGGGAAGCACTTCAGTGTTTGACCTCATTAAACCATCAATGAAATAACATAGGCTTCCGTCTGATTATAAAAGGGCCACTTCTAGAGAGATGATGTTTGGTGTCCACGTCAGAGAGAGAGAGCATAACTTCTAAACGCTACATTTTTGCCTTTGGCAGCTGTGCCAATAGGCAACCCGGCAAAAGAACTAAGGCCTGGGCCATAAAATGTGGGCCGAAGGCCAGGCTAGGGTATGCTTGGGCCTGGCCACAACACAACCAGCCCGGTTCAGCCTGGCCAGGCCCTTTTTTCCTTTATTCTTTTATCCGTTTATTCCTTTGATTGTGTCGGGCCTGGCCAGGGCCCATCCTCCCCGCCCCGTCTCACAGGGTTAGAGCCAGGTCTGGACCTAGACCACTTTGGTGGGTGCGGCCCTATAGGGACCAGGGCCAAGCTGGGGCAGCTGGCCCAATGAAAGCCTTCTCTTGGTCTTGGGGCCACATTGGACATCTTTAGATGAGGTCTTATAACCCTTACTTGCTATGGGTGGCATTGTCAGCTTGGCACGCCACTGCACGAGGGAAATATCAAGAATGAAGCTTCATTTATTGCCAAGATACACCAGTACCCAACATCTTATCGAATGAAAAGAAAACAAGCAGTTTGACTCTGCATGTTGCTTTAGCAGCAGATATTATCAATTACAAGTCCCTATTTTTCAGCCGCACCTGCAGATTCAGGTGCAAGCATTACCAATGTTGTCGACATCCAAACCGAATCTTCAATAGCAGCCAAAATAAAATATGTTTTGAGGGAGCGCAGGCATTACCAATGAGGTTATGACATCCAAACCGAATCTTCAATAGCAGCCAAAATAAAACATGTTTTGAGGGAGTGCTAGAGAGATTTGAATTTGATTCTTTCTGAAAGCTTGGCAAACTTATCTAACCCAAACTAGATTCAATGACAACTTCACAGTTTGCACAAAAGTCTTTACGAATATTCTAAGAACCAAACAAAATTGAACCAAGTTCCAAAACCTGCTCAATCTACAAATCTTTGAACAGCAAACCTGAAACAATCAAGCTAATGGCATCACATCAAGTGGAAGACCCTCTCCACCCAAACTCCCGTAGTGTTTATACTTAACAGGTAAGGTGATGAATAATGAAACTAATGATGGGATTATACCAAATTTCGAAACTAGTCGACCCAATCCTTGACCAGCAGCATCATGTAGAGAGGTACATTAACAGCAACAATTGCCATGATCATTCGAATGGCAAGCAACAATCTACGTTTAAACCCAAACCTTCTACGCCCTCTACCGAACTCCAACTTTGCATCAGTTGCAGATGAATTTGTTGACGTCATGTCGGCTGCTTCAACACTTTGTTTCTTTGCTGTAGGCCTCACCACTGCATTACCCCTGTGGGACATGAGATTTGATTTTTTTCATTAATCTTGTTGAGTACTGAGAGATCTTCAAGTTATGAACAAACAAAACCCACCTTCCTGGAAGTTGGGTGCCATTTTGACTTGAAGAAGAAGCCTTCTTCACTGCTTTCTTGACGAGGTGCATGGAACCCTCTGCATCCCATATCATCTCAAACTCACAGTCTTCATCATCATCCTTCACTTTTGCGTTCTTGTTTGAAATTAATCTTTGGATGGATCCTAGGTAAGAGCTACACCATTCCAAAAAGGCCGGGCCATTTACAGGCCAGAGGAGAAGCAGAAGGATAGTTATCACAAATAGGGTGAGATACCTGCACATTTTGTTGACCAGAGTCCAAAAGGAAATGGCTTCAAAGGATCTCAGAATCAGGCATAAACAGGGAGGACAGAGTACATTAAAAATCAAGGTTTTTTTTTTTTTTTGAGAATCGGTTAACTTCATTCAAAATCATGGTATTTACCATATATAAATCATCGTCTGGTTTGGAAGAAAACATAAACGAGTTGATATTATATCTTCCATGTTTGTTGAGTTCTTAGATGCCAGGGCATCGACGGACAGCAACATAAATGAGGGATACAAATTGCCTTGTTGCCAACTGAAGGTCCCAACAGTGTGCTGCAAAGAGAAGAATATGATACATTTTTTCAATAACATGTTTTTTTTCACAGGAAAAAAAGAAAAGATATGATGTGCCGCTTACCTCTATGACTGGCCCATTAGGGGTTTGATGGGTAACAGTACACTGGTCATGATCATGGCCTGATAGGACAAGTATCTGAGGCACAAACCAACTAAAGTGAATACTGCCTACATTTCAATTGACAAAGAAGTCCAAGAAGCCTTTCATTGTCAACCTAAACAAAGAGAAAAGTGTAAACATACTGGTTTGAGCAAGTTCAGTAGATTTGCTGATGTGTCCTCACTAAGATAATTTTGATACCTAATGAAATGAATGGCCCACATGAATAAAATTTGAGGTCCTCATTTCTGTGTAAGAACGAAATTGGCAGCACAATTGCTACAGATCCAACCAAAATCAGCTTACTTTTATATAAATACTGTTAGCAGAAGCACACAAATTGTGAGTTGCATGCTTACACACTCACCTAGATAGAAATGCGTGCACACACTCACACTCCCAAACAGGTACATGCACTAGCATATACACTTGCCTCTTTATTTGTCAGAATGAAAAGTGACATCTTCATCCACTCATTCATTAAAGGGTGTGGTTTCTATAAGGTTGCAACCTAAAACAGTCCAATTAAGGCGCACCTCCAAAATTTATCATAACATGTAATTTTGGTGTAAAAAATTCTTAGGATTATATCAAAATCGATTTTCATATCTAATTATAAAATTTTCAACTCCAAAAATGGTTTAAATCAACTAGATTTATAAACATATGAAAATCTTGAAAATGGACAGTCTAGATAATGTGTTGCAAGATGCACTATTTCTAGGAATCAAAATCTTTTTTTTGTTTTCATATTCATATATCTCGTTGTCGAGATGACCAATTGGCGGGCTTTTCAACATTAAAAAAAAATTTTCCAATGGATTTTTGAGGTGCATCTGTAATTCTACATTTTACAATTACGACCTTATATAAACTTTTTCCTTCATTACATACAAACTACAAGAAGATAAAACATAATAATCCTTGGGCTTTCACACAATTATTGAGATAATATTGGGTACTGAAAAAAATTAAACATAACACATTATTTTTTCTCTTTGAGAAGTGTTGACTGTATAATGTACAAAAAAAAAAAATCAAACAAATCAATATTTTATTTTACGAAATAAAATTAAAATTTTATAACTTTACGAAGTTTTTGAGAAGAATTGACAGCATATTGTATCCTTGGGCCTTCCACACGCTATTTTTATAAATTACATAAAAATAAAAAACAACTTCCCCTGTGGTGTTTTTGTCTCCCAACATTCACCCTCAGACTCTTCTGGCTGAGTCCCTCATTAGCCAACTGACACTTGAAGAAACAGCCAACTGGTGCTTGAATAAGCATACACTAATGTATTTTAAATAAGGAAATGTATACAATAAGACCATTTACCTTTGCTATTAAGAGATCAGAATCATTATTGATCGTTAGATGTGAATTTCGGTGGTTACGGTTATATCATTGACTATACACAAAGTCCAAATAAAATTTCTCAAATGTTGTGACACATTTCTATTTATCAGATTTGACATCCAATGGCTAAGAATCAATAAGACCTCCTTGTACCAAAAGTGAATGGTCTTATGGTATACAATTCCTTTAAATAAACTACAAAGAAGCTACTCACATTATTTCTTGACCACGGCCTGCACGAACAATTCTCTGGAGGTGAAAAAAACAGAAAAAGCTAAGACAGATGTTCAATCTGCTGATACAAAGCATTTGATGAGTTCAACTAAAAATAATTCATAATGAAAAAAAAGGACAGGGTACTAGTCTGTATAGCTCGAGAACCTGCTTAGAAAGTACCAAAAGATTTCCAAAAACATGCACATGTGATGAAGACAAGTAACATATAACCCAAAAGACAACTTATATATTGTTAGTGTATGCTTATTCACGCACGAGTCTTATTCTATACATTTCCTTATATTACCCAAAATAATTCATATTACTAACAATATATAATGGATGCGGTTTGTATAGAGCCGAGGCTCTAAACAAGCAAATTAGAGCCCACCTACAAATAGTATCGAGAAATGTCGTTTTAATATTGAAAATCTTTGTGATAACCTTAAAATATGTTTTCATCTTTGATTATAAAATTTAAAGATTAAAAAATAGCGTAGATCGAGCAGATCTATAAACACTTGAAAACCTTGAAAATTGATGGTCTAAAAATGCGGTACAAGATGCATTATTATCAAAACTTGAAATCCATATTTTTCTTATATCCATGCATCTTGATGTCGAGATGATCAATTTAAGGATATTTTGGGATCAAAACAACCTCTTCTAGTAAAATTTTTGAGGTGGGCTCTAATTTGATTGTTTAGAGCCTCGGCTCTTTATAAACTTTTCCAATATATAATATTGAATATTCAAACACATCATATACCTGGTTGATAATTGGAGATGATCGGTATAGACCACAAGGAGTTCCATCAGGTCGATAAAGCGGAATATGGGTCAATAGAATTCTTGGAGAAAGGGGAACATCTAAATATATCACAAAATTGCTCAGGATCCGAACTGATCAGCAACCATTTTTATGATAACTCTTTGTTGAAAGATCTACAATACACACCTGCTGAAGACAGATTTTTTATAAAATTCCATGATGCAAGACTCCAGTTTCCTTGTGATCCTGCAGTATCAAAAGCATTGCTTCATTCATAAATCCATTCCATATGTGGGAATATTATAAGCAATTATATTACATATATGCTGCATTGAGAGGGAAAAAGGTTCTATGAGCACTGGTTTGCCGAGTTTTGAGTGAAAACAGCCACAATATGCCTGAGCAAAGTTATGCATAAGTTCTGTATGGGGTGGTTTCTCTTTGACAATAGTAAGAAATAACAGGCATATATGCCAGAATTATTGGCGTGAAATGTTAAGTCACGGAACATAGAAACTCGCTGCCGCTAAAACATGCAGGGTGGAATTCATAAATGTATGGGCATATTGGTGAAGAAATGGGTTGCAGATCAAGAGAGAACAGTCCTCAAAGGCATCAAAGATGCTTTTGATAACTGGATGGAAACTCAACCATCACAAGAACATAACTTTTAAGTGCTTGATTTCATTTTTTTTAATATTGTTAGTAATATGAATTCAAACCAAGCATAAGAAGTCATTATGAGCAATACAAAAACTTTCTTAGTCTACATACCACTGATTCTTGAATAAAACCTAGGGGGGCATCCAAAATATTGTTGTGAAAGTGAATTTTCAAAGCTCCTAGTTCTTTTTCAGTTGTATTTCAATCTCTGACTTATTTGTCCTTCTTTTCACTTAAAGGGCATTTCTGTATAGAAGAGGAATGATAACTAATGATAATGGGGTTGGGATCGTGGTGGTAGTACCACTTATGCCTCAGCTAAGGTCTAGGCTTCCATTCTCACCTAACGCATTCAAAAACCACCAACGATTTAAAAAAAATGGGTAGGGGCTCGTCATCCCCACTGAATTACCCAAAACAAAAATAATAATAATAATAACTAATATAATATAGTATAAAGGTGTGTGGGGATCACACTTGACTCCACCTAGCTCTCTTTCTTTCTTCCCTCAAAGTTTCTCTCATTCCTCTCTTTCATGCTAACCAAGATTTTCTATTTCGCTGTATTTTCTTCTTTTCGCCTTCTTTCCTTAGTTGCTGTTGTATTTTTAATTTGGTATAGAAGCTCATGCTCTTCTCATTAATCAGATGCCATCTAGTATTTTAGACTACAAGTACCCCAGATAAACTACTTTGTCCTGATCGCCCACTGTTCAATGTTCATCCCAAAGTCTTTGGTTGTGTTTGCTCTGCTCATGTTCTGGGGTCCACACTATACTAAATTGGACCCCAAATCTGTAAAATGCATTTTTCTTGGTTATTCATCTTTGCAAAGGGCACAAATGCTTGATCTAGGGTTAGGGAAGAAATTTATCTCAATGTATTTAACTTTTTTAGTCCACTCCGTTCTTTCTAGCCTCTCTTTAGAGGAGTAACAGTGTGGTAGAGAGGTCCCCTATTCCTCATCCTGTCCCCAAGACGACAATTGGGGGCATTCTCATGACGCTAAAAAGAAAGAATTAAGAGTCTATACTCGGCGGAAACAAAAGGAAGTGGAGAGCATCATAGCTAACAGGTCATCCTATCATGCTCTCATGTCTTTTGTATCTTCTATTTCTTTTCCTTCCATTGACATAGAAGCTTTAGCTCATCCCAAGTGAAAAGAGGCTATGTACAAGGAGATGAGAGCATTGATGAAGAATGGTACTAAGGAGTTGGTAAATCTGCCTAAAGGGAAGAAGCTGGTTTATTGCAATGGGTTTATATGGTTAAACACATGGCTAATCATACAACTAATAGAAGATACAAGGCACGATTAGGAGGATTTCACTCAAACGTCTAGAACGGATTATTGGGTGACATTTGCCCCTGTGGGCTAGAATGAAGCCCATTCAGGTCCTTTTCTCTCTGACAGCTACCATGGAGTGTCATTATACCAATTAGGCGAATATGTTCCTTCACAAAGAATTGCAAGAAGTGTACATGGTTCCTCCACCTTGATTTAAGGCTCTTGGATATGAGGTTAAAGTATGTAGATAGAGGAAGGTCATTTATGGACTAAAGCAATCGCCTCGAGCCTGGTTTGAAAGGGTTGGTGTTGTCCATAGGATCAAGTATACTCAAAGTCATGTTGAACGTACCCTATTTGTGAAACATACATGTGATTCAAAAAACAGCCCGCCCAGCACCTAGCCAAGCCTCAGGGACCTGAGCGCATCGCCTAGGCCTAGGCAGGCCATTTGGGCACCAGGTCCCTTGCAGTGCCATTTAGGCGCCAGGTCCCTGGGCACCCAACACCTATCCCTAAGCGGGTACCCAAGGACCTGGCCCACCTAGGGGCAAAAAAGCCCCTAGGGCAGGGACATTTTCAGTCATTCCCTCCCCCCCCCCTCCTCAAGTAAGAAAGAATTAAAGAAAGAAAAGAGAATTCTAAACCCTTAAAAGTGTTTTGAGCCTCTAGAGACCCAAAAAGCTCAAAAAAAATTTCAAATTTTGAATTTGATTGGATTGTCTTAAAATCGAACCAAACATCATCATTTTCTTTTGGATTAATTTTATCCATATTCGAAGCTTATTAAAGGGTTATTAGCGAGCTTTTGAGATTCACAAACATCTCAAACATTGAGGATTGAAGATTGAGCATAAAGGATAGTCAAGAATCTCCGTACTTGAGATTTTATTTGTTATTTTGATAATGTCATCTTTGGGTTCTTCTAAAAATTGGTGATTCGGATTGGAAGTATGGCTACAACCCAAATCAAAAGGACAAAATTGTGTAAGGTATATTTATTATCAATAAAATCTGCATAAAAAATACCTAAATCTGCTAGAATGAACTCCATTCTGGTCCTTTTCTCTCTAGGCGTCAAGAATACGCTCCTTCACAAAGAATTGCAAGAAGAAGTGTACATGGTTCCTCCACCTTGATTTAAGGCTTTTGGATATGAGGTTAAAGCATGTAGATAGAGGAAGGTCATTTATGGACTAAAGCAATCGCCTCGAGCCTGGTTTGACATGGTTGGTGTTGTCCATAGGATCAAGTATACTCAAAGTCATGTTGAACGTACCCTATTTGTGAAACATACATGTGCTTCAAAAAATGGCCCGCCTAGCACCTAGCTAGGCCTCAAGGACCTGGGCGCATCGCCTAGGCCTAGGTAGGCCATTTAGGCGCCAAGTCCCTGGGCACCCAACGCCTATCCCTAAGCGGGCACCCAAGGACCTGGCCCGCCCATCTAGGGGCAAATATGCCCCTAGGGCATGGGCATTTTCAGTCATTTCCCCCCCAAGTAAGAAAGAAAGAAAAGAGAAGGGAGAGGGGGGGGGGGTGTGGTGTTTCTAAACCCTTAAAAGTGTTTTGAGCCTCTAGAGGCCCAAAAAGCTCAAAAAAATTTCAAATTTTGAATTTGACTGGATTGAACTTCAATCCGAAGTTCTTAAAATTGATCCAACCTCATCATTTTCTTTGGATTCAATTCTATCCATATTCGAAGCTTATTAGAGGGTTATTAGCGAGCTTTTGAGATTCACAAACATCTCAAACATTGAAGATTGAGCATAAAGGATAGTCAAGAATCTTCGTACTAGAGATTTTATTTGTTATTTTGATAATGTCATCTTTGGGTTCTTCTAAAAATTGGTGATTCGGATTGGAAGTATGGCTACAATCCGAATCAAAAGGATAAAATTGTGTAAGGTGTATTTATTATCAATAAAATCTGCATAAAAAATGCCTAAATATGCAATTTTTATACAAAAAATGCTCTAAAAATAGGATTCATGGACACCTCCTTTCCCACTTCTGAACCTAGGACGCCCAGATCCCTAGGCATCCTCCCAAGCATTGGGTAGCCAAGACTCCCCTGGCCTCATATGTGCCACCGCATTTTCTAAAACACTAAAACACACCATGGTTAGTACTACTACCATGATTGTATATGTGGATGATATTGTTGTAGTATGCAATTGTCTTGATCTAGGCCCATTGAAATATTTTCTTGAAACAGAAGTGGCCAGGTCTAAGACAGGAATTTTTATTTCTCAAAAGAACTATGTGTTGGGATCTCCTTAAGGAAACAGGAAAACTTGGGTCAAAGCCCGTTGATACACATGAGGAACAAAACTCCAGACTCGATGAGAAAATGGGTGAATAACTTAAAGATGTAGGTATCACAGTTAACCGCTTCAAGAAAACTTAAAGACGTAGGTATGTTCCAAAGGTCAGTGAGTAGATTGATATATCTTTCACTCACACGCACAGATATTGCATATGTTGTGTGGGTGGTCAGTTCAGGCATACTCCTAAAACTATTCATCTTGAAACTATTTACAGAAAATCATCACCATGTAGAGGCCTCATTGGTACTTATGAGTTTAGGCTTATACAGATGCAAATTGGGCTGAGTGTATTATGATAGAAAATCTACATCAGGTTACCTTACACTGATTGGAGGTAACTTTGTGACTTGGAGGAGTAAAAATCAGTCAGTTGTAGCCCGTAAAAGTGAAAAAGCATAGTATCAATCGATGGCTCATGGAGCATGTGAATTGTTGTGGTTAAAAACCCTATTACGATAGCCAGGTTTTTTTATAAAGGGATCAATGTCCTTGTATTGTGATAACAAAGCAGCCAGTAGTATAGTTCACAATTTGGTTCAACCTGATTGAACCAAGCATATAGAGGTAGACTGACATTGTACTAGAGAAATACTTGCTACCGTAGCAACTTGTCTTCCCTATGTGAAGACAAAAGATCATCTAGAAGATATTCTTACAACAGGTATTGGGAAACCATGACTTTGATTTATCTTGAGCAAGTTGAGCATGATTGATATCTATGCACCATCTTGAGGGGGAGTGTTGTGAAAATGAATAATGAAAGCTCGTAGTTCATTTCTAAGTGTATTTAAGTCCCTGGTGACTTATTTTCCCTTCTTTTCACTTAAAGGGCACTTTTGTACATAAGAAAAAATTATGACTAACAGTGAAACTCTATTTCCTTCTTTTTTCCCTTCTTTCTTGGTTGCTGCTGTATTTTTAATATACTCAATAATATTTCTGTCAAGAAATGCATCATTGACATTCATTGAGCAAAGTCGGCACCCCAAGGTAATTCTAGTAAGCTTTGCAACCGAGGCAGATATTATAATCATTTCCAAATAGTCTACTCATAAGTTTGGCCCTAGGAAACATGTCTAGTCTTATACGTGCTGATGGATCCCTCTAACAAGGTCTTGACTGTATTAACACATTTACATCGGATAGGTGTCTTACCAGATAGCAAAGGAAAGATTCCAAAAATGGTAGTATTCAAGTGCCTCAAGCTCTTCTTTCATGGTCGCTTTCTAGTGGTCATTCAGGTTGCCTTGTATGAATTAGGTTCTTAGACAACAGAGAATAAAAGGAACATAAAATAACGAAAAGAGAAATCAAATCCAAAGCTCTACAGAGGAATACTAAAAAAGGAAAAAGAAAAGGGGGGAAGAAAAGGACAGTGTCAGAAGATCAGTTGATGGGATTACGCTTGTCGAATGAGAGAGCCTGTCCAATACTCAACTTTGGAAGGCATACCTTCCCAGAACACATTATGTCTCAATGGGGTTAACTCTTGTTCATGAAGCGCCACCAGTATAAAGCGCAAAACTAATCTACAAGTTGATGCTTTTAAGTCATTTGACCTCTCAAACTTTTACTTTTGGGACTCAATTAAATGTCTTTTTATACCAAAAAATTAAATTGTATGACGAGAAAGAGATGTTAAAAACTTGCATACCAAGAAACCCATGGCAAGTACAGCACTAGATAGATCTCATTTCCCTAAAGTCAGCTTAGAGGCTGACCTGTCCCATAGAACTATAGTGCATACTGCATACTTCTATTTCTTATGCAAAAAATAATAATGATTGAACCAGTATGCAACAACAAAGATCATCGTCCCAAGTTTATAGTGACATGCATACCGTGATGAGCTCAAAAATAATTTTCCCCAGCATAGAAATGGCACAAAGAAGATTTAATTAACAAACTGTTTGCAAAGAAGATTTAATTAACAAACTGTTTGCCATTTTACCATCAAGAGTCTGGGCATCAACAGCAACAAACTCCACTTCGCCAACATTGAAGCGATAATTTCTCTCTCCAAATTCTTGATCGTAGCGATTGATAACCTGCATGACCATGTAGTGTTAAATCATACGTTCAACATGAAGCAACAATTCACCACTATCACAAACAGTGCATCCTATGTGTTCATGTCATGCTAATAACTAACATTCCAGTAGTACATGAAGGATATTGGCATCCAAGTCCAACAAACCTCACACATTGTAAGATGAAACCAAGATACAATTCAGAGGGAGCCTAATCCTCAAAAGAGTACCTCTGGTTTATAAAAATGAAGAGCTGCATAGCCAATGTCATGGTTTCCAGAGAGATAATGAACTGGAATGTCTGAATTGCGACCTCTTTGAATAACATCAAAGATTTTTCTAAACCGGCTCAAAGACTCCTGCCATCTGCTACATCGAAATTTAGAACTGATATGAAAAACTTTTGGAGCAAAAAACATTAAAACATTAGCCATATCATGCGGAAGTTTTTAACTGTGGCCTCAATATGAGCATCGCCAGTTACAATTTCATCGAAGCTAATGAACTGCAAGTTTGAAAAGGATAAACATAAGTAATGTACTGTAAAGCAACAGAAAAATCGAAGCCAAAATGGAATGAAGGCAACATTCTTCAGCAAAGTGCATATACACTAACTCTTTATCTTTGTAGTTTGCATATTCAAAGAAATTCCAGGCTTTATCTTTCACTAAAGCAAGTTCCCGAACCTCATTTAAAGGATATGCAGGCGGAGATTTACTATTCGTTTTTTTACCATCAATAACTATAGCACAAAATTGGTCAGGACACATGAATGCAGATAGCAGGCCTCAAAAGTCAACAACATTTTCCCACTCCCAATGCCAAAGGAAACCATCTGATTGAAGTTTTCACTAAAGCAAGTTTCCGAACCTCATTTAAAGGATATGCAGGTGGAGATATACTACTTGTTTTTTTACCATCAATAACTATAGCACAAAATTGGTCGGCACACATGAATGCAGAAAGCAGGCCTCAAAAGTCAACAACAATTTCCATCTCCCAATGCCAAAGGAAACCATCTGACTGAAGGCTATGAATGCGTACATTCAATATTTAGGTTCTTTTTCTTATGGTGAGTAGTTCTGACATTTATAAAGCATTATCTAAAAATCTTAAGGAAATGTGATCAACTATATGAATTTCTTTGACGTATTTGGATGGCAATCGAATTATTTTTAATGTGGCCCCTAGTCTTATAAGCAACCTTGAAGAGCTATCCCAACCCCATAGGTCATTTTTGGCTAACCATGATGCAATGAAAGAATTGGTATTCAAGAAGGTAGATTCGACCGCCTAGGCAGGCACCCAGGTATTTGAGCGGCTTGCACGTAAAGGGGGAGCTTGACATGCTTAAATATGATATTGGGGATTGTGTTGGTCACTAAACCCCCTCTGGTTGAGTGGATAGAAGATTTATTTTTATTAAAACATTGTTATATAGTTTTGTATTTATTTTGATTAAAACATTGTTATATAGTTTTGTGTGTTATTTTGGCAGTTCAAACTTTGATATACATGACTTTGAAACTTGAAACTGTATGACAGAGACTTTAAATGAGTGAAAATTGGGCAAAAAGAAAAACACTTCAAAAAATATGCCCAAAACTCATCATTTATGCAACAAAGAAAGTATTAATAACCACTACAAGTTAATATGCCATTACAAGGTCACAACTCACAAGAAAGTCATAATGAAATGACATAAAACAGCATAACTCAAAACAAGACAAAAATATGATGAACTCAAATTTTAGGTTGGGTTTCATTATCACTAACAATAGCATGTCCATCTCTGCAACACCATCAAATGCACCTGAAACTGATGATTATACCAAGTCATCATCATCATAGTCATCCCCCTCCTCATAATACTCATCTTCCCTAGTCTACTCTAGGTTTGCCTCCTCCTCCTCTCTTACTCTCATCAGCCTCTTCCCCTTCCCCTCACCCTTCCTTTGAGAGTGAGATCTAGTAGGCCCCTCAAGGCTCAATGCGGTTTCAGCTGCCTAATGAACTTCACTCCATGTCAAGCTCTCTCCTGTGAACACTGGTTCGTCCCCAGCATCCTCCTCAACCAACCACTCCCTCACTTCATCTATATCTTTCACAACGATGGGGCTGATCTCATTGTGCACCAAATGGCGCTCCTTCACTTCTAATTATACTAAAGAAAACAAGGCCATTCAGTATCTTCTGTTCGAGCCGATTTCTCTTCTTTGTATCTATTTGTTGCATAATGCATGACTGCAATACAGATATTTATAATTAAAAAAGTTATGATACAAGTCAAGGAAGCAAGAGACGAGGACAAATGGCAGAATAGCAAATGGAGACGAGAGAAAATGGTAGAATAGCAAATGTGTCGCTTAAGAATTTACAATCACAAATGTGTTTAAGGGGCAATCGCCACCAAACGATTACAAGTCAAGTTCAACACCCATTGAGCCATCTTCTACTAACAATTGACGCTTTGTCCATGATTGGCCCACCATGAAGCTCCATGCATTAAAAACATGAAGAGTCTATAGGTAAGAGTATGTTTAGAAGTCAGGTAAGAAATTAGAAGTTAAAACATATAATTAACTAATTAAATATCAAATACATCATTAAAAAAACAAATTGAAAGTTGACCATACATGAATAGATTTCTGTCCTTTTCTTATTACAAGTTCCATCCCACATGTCCCCATTGAGTATCGATACTTGTAAAGCTCCATTGACACTTCGTCTTGGACATCCACATCACGGTTGAGTTTCACATTGTACTTGTTAATTGCTTACAGGAAACAACCGTTAGACTCTATCTCAGGATCAGTGTAGTAATAAGCAAAGTTGAGATAGTCGTGTAGGGCCTCTCCAGCTGTCAATTCCATTTGTCTTCTACAATTTTCAAAATAGGAACACATCTACTTTCTTCATTCTTCGAGTTCCACTTGATCTCCTCTTGTAAATATGCCCCCTCGCTGGTTCGCTCTCATGATCCACAAGGTGCAAAACTTTCTCAAGTGGCTCAAAAAGATGGAGACATTAACGAACACATTCTAAAATCAAGGTGCCATAACAATGTCACACCCTTTTTCCCTGTTGTATCCTTGGACCACTAGCTTCAGTAATATAAAGTGACAAACATGCTCCTGAGCCCATCTTTTTGGTCTACAATAGATTTCAAAGACAAGTATGAAGTAGCATACCTTATGACCTTGGACTCACCCACTCTCTATTTTGTGTATGTATCATCATCATGGCTAAGACATCAGTATGACTATATATGACAGTAATAACAATTCTTGTGTTTCAGTATCCCATCCACCACTTTCATCTTGTTGATTGCCTCAAGCATGAGGTCAATTTAATGCTTCACACACGGTGTCCCAAAAATGTGTAACATCTTCACCTCCAACATTCTAGCAGCTCCATATTAGCCTTAGCTATGCCCATAACTACTTGCACTACATATGCCTCCCCCACCCTCAATACACTTATAACTCAAAAATGAATTCCACATCAATCTTGCCAGATGCGTCAATGGACTTCAAAAATATTATCCCCATAGGCACCATTAAGTTCATAGTGCTTCTAGTTATCTTATCAGTCCATGTATCAGTCATTATGGTGACCCTACCCCATGTATCCCTATGGGCCTTAAGGTACTCACTTGTGATACAACTCCTTCCTTAAAAGGAACCATTGGCATAAATGAGGGCGGAGGTTATAAATACATCTGTAGGAATAGGATATCAGAAGTGAATGAAGCTTTGAAAAGGATTAAGATAGGAAAGGCTTTAGGATCAGATGGCAATAAGTTTATTAATTTACAAATCTATGAATCAATGCAATAAGATAAGTATTGACTGACAGTAATTTACCAAAGACAACTATGCAGTCATACAACTGCGCCTTGGCCGTCCCCATGCCAGTCATGCCAGTCCCAAGGCCGAGCAAAGGAGGAGAATTGTGTTAGGTAGGCAGCCAGCGTAAAATTTTGCTACATCTTTTCATGAATCCTAAATCTATGTTATATGTTCATGCTAGGGCGTTCCCCGTAAGCGACACACTTTACCAGAAAGCAAAACTAAAGGATAAAATTACAAGACAATTTTGTGAGGACATGCATGGACTAGTCCAAGAAATACCAACAAAGAGAGGACTTTTATAGGAGGGGATTTAAATGTAAGTAAAGATCGTCGAGGAAATGGATCATCGAGGAAATTGAAAGGTATATGGCGGATATGGTTTTGGGGAAAGAAATGACATGGGTGAGGCCATTCTAAATTTTGCTATGGCTTACGACCTAGCAATAGCAAACACCTATTGTAAAAAACGAGATAAATATTAAATAACTTATAAAAGAGAATCATATCAAAGCCAGATAGACTTCTTTCTAATTAAGAAGATAGATCAATCATCATGTAAAGACTTTAAGGTTATCTCATGAGAGAGTATGACCACACAACACAGGCTCGTGATTATAGATGTCAACATAAAGAGATGGAAGAGTGAAATTAATAGGTGTCCAAGAACTAGATGTGAAATTTAAAAAAGGAGAAAAGAGACTTATTTAGGGATAAATTATTAACTAAAGTCTTAATGAGATGGCTGATTTTATTTAAAAAATGGCAAAAGAAGCTTTAGGAGAAACTAGAGGGAAAAAAAAATTCCATAAGGAAACTTGGAGGTGGAGTGTTGAGGTTCAAAAGGCTATTAGCAAAAAACGATCATGTTATAAAGCTTGGCAATTTAATAGAAATGATCAAAACTTAGAAAAATATAAAAACACTACGAACAGCGCTAAGAAAATAGTAAGGCTAAACTTAAGGGATATGATAAATTATACAATAAACTGCGACAAGAGAAGTTAAAAAAGATCTCTCCAAACTGGTAAAAATGAGAGAGAAGAAGTGTAGGGATCTGGATCAGTGTTCACAAAATCGAACCGGAACGGTTAACCGGACATGGGCCCGGAAGCGATTTAACCGGCCTAACCGGTAAACCAGCCAATTCAACCGCTCTAATCGAGCAAGTCCCATACGATCAAAAAAGTATTAAAAACATAAAAAAGATACAAAAACAAATTCTATTAAAATATGAAAAGTCTATAAAGAATGTGATTAAAACAAAACACACTCAAATGAAGTTGAAAATTAATGAAAAAAATGGATTTTAACGAATCGATTTGTGCCTATGGGGTATTTTTAAAATTTTCGAAAAAAGATGGGAAAATATAAAAGTATCATTGGCCAAAAAAAATTTTAATCTTTACCATAATGTAAAGAATATTAAAATAATGTTAAAAAAATTGACTTGACCAACTCTTTTTTTTAAAAGAAAATGAAGAAAAAATCAAGTTATATATGATATAGGCCCTT